GGTGTTGAAGTATGATGCTGCTGTCTATCATTATGTTCAGATCAAGTAAGGTTTGCTTTATGGATCTGGGTGCAGCTGTGTTAGGTGCACAAATATTTAGGATTGTTATGTCTTCTTTTTGAATTGTTCCCTTCACCGTTATATAATGACCATCTTTGTCTTTCTTTACTTTTGCGGATTTGAAGTCTATGTTATCTGATATGAGAATGGTTACACCAGCTTTCTTTTGGTTGCCATTTGCTTGGAATGTTGTTTCCATCCCTTCACCTTGAGTGTGAATGAGTCCTTGTGGGTTAGATGTGTTACCTGGAGATAGCAGATACTTGCTTTGTATTTTTTAATCCCTTCAGCTGGCCTATGTCTCTTGAGTGGGGAGTTCAAACCTTTCACATTTATTGAAAGAATTGATAAGTGGGGTGGATTTCTGTTCATCCTGTTGAGTAGAACTTTATTGCTTTGTTTTACCTTTTCAGCCATTGTGGTATCCAGGCTCTGACCTTTAGCTTTTGGGTGATTTTACACTGGTGGGTGTCTATTGTGCTGATCTGTATATAATGCAGTTCTGAGTACTTCCTGCAGGGCAGGTATGTTCTTGACAAATTATCTCAGTGTTTGCTTGTCTAAGAAAGTTTATATTTCTCCCATGTATAAGCAACTTAGTTTTGCAGGATACAAAATCTAGGCTGACCATTATTCTGTTTCAGAAGACTGAGAATGAGGCCCCAATCCTTTCTGGCTTGTAAGATCTCAGTTGAGATATCTGCAGTTAGTCTGGTGGGTTTTCCTTTGTAAGTTACCCGTTGCTTTTGCTTTATGGCTCGTAGGAGTACCTCTTTTGTGTTTACGTTGGCCAGTCTGATGACTGTATGTCATGGTGATTGCCTCTTCACAATGAATCTCCCAGGGGTCCTTAGAGCTTCTCGTACCTGGATATTTAGATTTGTAGGCCAGGGAAATATTCCTCAATTATTCCCTCAAATAAGTTTTCCAACCCTTGCGTATTTTCTTCTTCACCTTCAGTGATGCCTATGATTCTTATATTTGACCTCTTTAAATAATCCCACATTTCTTGTGGGTTTTGTTGGTTCCTCTTGTTTCTCAGATCTTTCTCTTTGACTGACTTGTTTAACTCAACGGTGTCTTCTGAGATTCCTTCTTCTGCCTGATGTAGCCTATTCTTAAGGCTTTCCACTGTGTTTTGTATTTCCTTGAATGAATTTTTCATTTCCAGAAGTTCTGTTTGATTTTTTTTAATAATGAGATTTTCTTAGTAAATTTTTCATTCATTAACTACATCATTTTTTGTGGTTTCTTTGTGTTGGGTTTCTGTTTTGTATCTCATTGAGCTTCCTTATGATCCATATTTGGAATTCTTCATCTGTCATTTCAATCTTTTTGTTTTGATTGGAATCCATTGGTAAGGAGTTATTGTTTTCTTTTGGGGGTGTCCTTTCACTCTGATCTTTCATGTTTCTGGAGTTCTTTGCCTGATTCCTTCTCATCTGGCCTCTCAGTCCAGACCTGGGGGTGGTAGGTCTGGTTTATGGGCCTGTCACCCGGTTCCCGAAGATCAATCCCTATGCGTTCCAGGGAGAGAAGTGCTGGTCCTGAGTTGCCTATGGGGTGTTCTGGCAGGTTTAGTGTACCTCTTGGATTACCTCTGACCTGCTGTCTTCACCTCTTCCCAATAGTGTGTGGTGAGTTAGGTCCCCCAGCTTACTCTCGGTGATGGTGGGTGGTACTTGTGAGTATGAATCAGCCACACCCTTTTTGCTTGAGTTGGAAGATGCTATGATGAGCTATATATTGTTGTTCTCCCTGTCATTGGTTGATGTTTGTGAGATAGAGCCAGCTGCCGAGATGTTCTTTTGTGTCCATGGTAGACTCTGGTCCCCCAGGTGGAGTACTTGAGTGCCCCAAGATTTAGGAGGGACCCTGTAGCTCCCAGGGAGTTTTTTGATCTCCACCACCACTGAGGTGGGGATAGGAACAAGGCAGTTCGTGGCTAGGTTGTGGGAGCATGAAAGGCTTTGCAAAGCCTAGGCAGGGCTCAGAATTTGCTTTTCCGGCCACTAGGGGGAACTGCTGCTAGGAGGGTCAGGACAGGCTCTCCAAACGGGGAGAGCTGTTCACAGGGGAGGGGGCTAAACTCTTGTATGCTAAGTGCCTGGGCTGTGTTCTTTCCACCTTCAAACAGTAGCATAGTTTTTCTGTGGGATGGGTAGGCACTTCCCCCAAATGGCCACTCCTTGGGCCCCCACACACCCTGTAAAATTGAGTTAGTAAATGCTGTAAAGGATGTGTAAATTGACCTCTCCCTCAGTAGGAGGCACTTGCCAGAAGAAACAAGCTACATTGTTGTTTTTGGGTCCTGTGACCACCTCTAGTCCCTCAGGAGAAGCACTCGAATGCCCCAGGTGATGGGTGGGGCCCTGGAACTTTAGGCGAGTCCTTATTCTCTGCCACAGCAGAGGCAGGTGTGGTGCGGCTGGGTGGGGCTGGACTGGGTGAGCTTGCCCTCAGGCTCCACAAAAGCTGGCGAGGTAGCTGTTTTTTCAGGGGTCAAAGGTCTGCCCCCAGCTTCTGGGCAGAGCCACCAGGAAGGAGCTAAAGTGGCCTTACTCAACCAGAAAATCTGCTTGTGGAGGCAGGTCCTTCCGAGACTCACAAACTGGCAGTCTGCAGTGGGCCTCACTCCTCTCCCACCTCCTCTGCTCCACGGTCTCCCCCTAGAGTCTGCTGGCAGGCAGGAGCCCAAGCCAGCCGAGCTCCCCCACAACTATGCTGTGGGCCGGAGGCTCCCTGCCTAGGATCCCGGCCTGAGCTGAGAGTGCGGCCCTCCTGTGGAGGAAGGGGTACTTTGCAAGCATGCTGCAGGTGGGACCCACACTGCACTCTCCCCCCAGATCTGACCGTGCCAGGGAGAAACGCGCTCGTTCTGAGCCACCACGGGGTGACTGAGCGGGATCGATGTTCCTCCTTGGGGTGTGCCCCACTCTGATGGCGCTGCTGGGTAAGCAGCACCAGAGAGGGCCAGTGAGCAGGGAGCTCACAGTCTGAGCACCCCTCAGTCCACTGCAGGATCCCAAGAGGAAAGGCCTGAGCCCCACTCTCTGTGGAAGCTTCAGTGTGGTGGCTCAATTGTCTCTCTTGGCAGCCATGGGTGGTGGAGGGGAAGGGGAAGAAAAGAGTCTGTATGGAGGAATGCTAGTACTCTGGTGGTCTCTGACCCTTTCTCTGTGAGGCAGTCTGCCTAGAATGTCCAAGATTTGGAGTCATGCAGATCACCTGGGACCCGCTGGCCCCCTGTTGCTCCTGTAGTCTGGGCCGGAGTTGGGAAATATCTGTGTGGGAACAAGCAGGATGAAACCTGGGAAGTTGAAGCCCCATGGGGAGGACAGAGATGCGCAGTGGGTGGAGAAGCAATATGGCGCCTGCCATCCTGGCTTGGGTCTGTGGGGTGGGAAGTGCCCTGGGGGGCTGGAAGCCTGCTACTGGTGGTAGCAGCCTCTGGGCTGGTGTGGGCAGCAAGTCTCTCCAGCAGCTCGGGAACCCACTGACTGTCCGAGATGTGAGGGAAGGAGAAACAAACCACTCCACCTACCTTCTCACTGGACTCCAAGCCTCTCTCCTTGCTCCTTATTCTGTACTACAGCTTCTTCCTGTGGTGTCTCCCAAAGAGTCTGGCACCCTTTCTTCAGACCCACGTCCGATATGAGTTTGTCTGTTCGTTTTTTCTCTTTCATCTAAAACTTCTTACGGAGATGCTCTGGCAGCTGGTGTCTCTGGTTAGCCATCTGACCCAGAAGTCTTATATATTGTTCTTATATCCTTGTAGCCTGCAAACTTACCGAACTTGTTTAACTATTAGGATTTTTTTGTGGATTCCCACGGAGTTTCTATATATAAGTCTGTCATCTGTAAACAGAGATAGATTTATTTATTCCTTTTCCATTCAGATACCTTTTATTTCTTTTTCTTTCCTAATTCCCCTGGCCAGAACCTCCAGTAAAATTCAGAGTAGAAGTGATGAGAACAGAGATCCTTGCTGATCTTAGGAGGAAAGCTTTCTTTTACCATTAAATATGATGTTAGCTGTGGGTTTTTCACAAATGTCCTTTACAAGTTCAGGACATTCCCTTCTATTCCTACTTTGTTGAGTGTTTTATCATGGCAGGGTGTTAGACTTTGTCAAATGATTTTTCTGCATTGATTGAAATGATCATGTGGTTTTTGTCCTTTATTCTATTGATACTGTGTATAACACTGATTTTCCTGTGTTTAACCACTCATGAATTCCTGAGATAAACCCCAGTTGGTCATGGTACATAGTTATTTTTATTATTTTTTTTTTAAGCCAACAGCATGCCTCCAGATATAATTCCTTTCATATGTTGGTGGATTCAGTCTGCTATTATTTTGTTGATAATTTTTTCATTTATTAATATATTAATAAGGAATATTGGACTATGTTTTTCTCTCCTTGTGATGTCTTTGCTTTTGTATTCGTAATACTGGCCTCACAGAATGAGTTGGGGAGTGTTCCTTCCTCTTCTAATTTTTGGAAAATTTTGTGAAGGAGTAGTGTTAATTCTTTTTTAAACATTTGTTAGAATTCACTAGTGAAGCCACCTGGTCCTGGTTTTTTCTTGGTGGGAAGTTTTTGATTACTAATTCTATCTCTTTACTTGTTATAGGTTTATTCAGATATTCTGTTTCTTCTTGAGTCAGGTGTACAAGTTGTGTCTTTCTTGGAATTTTCTGTTTACATTATCTTAATTTTTTTGGCATTATATATTACTTTTTAACATTAAAATGTTTATAGGCTACTTTTTGAATTTTCTGCTCTTTTAGGTTGACCTTTCTACAGTTAATCCAAATTAAAAAGGTTTTAATTTATGTTACGTATGAAAGTAGCACACTGGGGAAACTAACTTGCTTGCTTTTTTTCCCTTTAAAGAATCACCAATATTGTTTAATGTTTTGTATTTTTCTTTTAGGAGCGTGTATTCATCAAACAAAGATATAAACAATGAAGAGGAAATTCTTAGGAAAAAGATAGTGGAGAGTGAGATATCACAAAAGAAACTTGACTTCAGTTTTCAAAAGTATAAAAAATCATCTGATTATGCTGTTCAGAAGCATGAAATTCCAGATGATATCACTGATATAGATGACAATTTAATTTCCAATGGTGAGGTATTTTTTGTGGAGTTTTATAAAAATTTATAGCCATGAAAATAACTGTATTCTGATACAATTAGAGAAAAGCATACTTCAAAATCTGCTCTACTGATTTTTTAAAATAAACATGGAGAAATGAAAATGCTAGTATGGTCAACTCCCAGTTTTCCCAAATAATTGGAGATAGGGTTATTATGAATAAATACACACATAATTCATAATTTTCTTTCTAACCACTTAAGTTTCTGCATATCATTGTCCTTATTCTAATCTATACCAATAAAGAAGCTTTAACAGACTATAGAGTCAGTTCTAACACAATATATGCATACCTTAAAAAACCCTGTGTAACACAAAAATTACTGTTACACAAAACTTTATTGGGACACATTAATAAAAATGATAACCTAATAAAAATGGTAGCCTAGTTTTACACATGTTAAATGGTTGGGAAACACATAAATTCTATAATACATATGGCATTTTAACCTGAAAAAAACCTGAAGTTTGCTTGTGGAAGTGTGTTTCATAAGGATTTTAGCTTGTGAGTTATTGTGAATTGGTAGAAAGATGATATTAAGGATGTATGGATACATGCATGGATGGATTCATGGACGCACGCGTGGATAGATGGATGCATCAACTGATAGAAATAGATTCTGACAGGAAACCTGGGGTCCCTGGATCAGACAATAGACCATTTATTACTCAGAGCATCTTCGTGCTGGTTCACATCCCCCAAACTCCATGAAGCAACACAGTGAGGGCCTGATGTTACCCTGCCCATGCAGTAGGATTGCACCACAGGAGAGGAACACCGAAATTAGGAAACTCTAAGCTTTCATAGGCTTCTGGCAGATCTGTCCATTCTCCTCCCCAGAGAGAGGGATAGACCTTTACTTTAGAAGGTAAGTAAATCTTCTCTGGGCAGGGAAAGGGAAAGTATTTAATAGTTTCACTACCCTGAAGTATAAGGAAGTAGCTTCCAGGGGAAGTAAGTTTCTAAATCTTTTTGGAGTAATATATTATCTCTAGCTTCCAAGGCATGTTTGCTATTTTCTTTAACCAAGTTTACCATAATGTTTTAAAGCCTTACAGTATTTACTCATATCAGAATTTATAAGAATAGGAGGAGAGGTACATGAGGTTCTATTATTAGGAATACAGGCCTTCCAGTAACTGTTTCATAAGGGATCAATCTATGTTTCCAGTGGGGTGGATCTGATTGTCATCAAGGCCAATAGTAATACTTTTGGCAAAGACAATCCAATCAATTCAGTGCCAGTTTCATTTTTAAAATGCCATTTTCCCTTTTTACCTTTCTAGAAGATCAAGAATGATAGGGACAATGGTAATGCCATTGTGTTGATAACACTGTATTTAACTGCTTTATAACTTGTCCAGTAAAATGGGTTTCTCTATTTCTGGAGCTTTCTCCAGGGATGCCTCATAAGGGAAACATAATAACTTGTTAGCTATTGTCATAGCATTGGCTTTCCTACTCATGAAAGCTTCTATTCAGCCAGAAAAGATACAGAGTATTACAAGAACATATTACTATCCCATTGAAGGTGGCAGTTGAATGAAGTCCATCTGTAAGTGTTCAAATGGCCCATCAGGTGGCAGAAATGTACCACCTAAAGTTTTGATTGTCTTCCCAGGACTGTGGGTTTGACAAAGCAAACAGTGGTTATAGACTATTTTAGCAATTTTAGAACAGTCATCCCACCAATATTTTCTCATAATTGTATCATGAGTCAGAATATTGGAATCTTTAAGAATTCAGGAAGGACCAGGTAGCCATCTGGGCCCTTCTTGAGTCTACACTTAACATTCAATTTACATCCTTTCAGATACCAATTTTGTTTTACCAAATCAGGTGCATAGCACTGTGTATTAAATAGGTTATCGTAGGTGATTTGATTTGGATCAGTCTTATGAAGTTTAATTCAGACTGCATATTCTAAAAGTTTAAGTACTAGCTGACTTAGCATGAAAATCTGCTAAGGCATTTCCTTGATATTCAATTAATTCTCATTTTGCTTGATATTGGGTTAGCAGTCTTACGAATCAATCAGTTTCTTTATTAGAGTTCTTCAAATTCTTAGTCCAAAGGTGTGATCTTAAAGTTATCAGAAACCTGTACTTGCCAAAATCCTTTCCATGAATCTCCTTGAAGATGAAACAATTTAGGTTTATAGTTTCTTGAGGTAGCTTTCAGATAAGTATCAGAGTAAAACAATTAACTGTCTGTGGGTGACAAGTCTTAAAATGACCATGGTTAAAGATAAGATGAGAATTCATTGTAATAATGATGCAATTGACAGGAAAATTTGGTTATTTGTGTGACATACAACATTTTAAGATAACTAGAATTATGACTTATAGATAACATTATACCAGGACTATCATATTTCTAGGAATCTCATACAGTTTCTGGAACGTATATTAATAACACATTCATAAAAATATAACTCAAAGACAGTTAAACATCATTTCTTATTTGACAGTGGTTCTCATGCAAATTTAACATATCAAATAAGTCTAATTAGTTTAATGTTTCTCTTTTTAGAAAGAGAGAGAATAAATTCTTTTGCAATATGTCAGAGGCCATTTGGAAGGTTCCAAAGTTTGAGGTTAAAAAGAATTAATTTAGGGCTGGGCGCGGTGGCTCACGCCTGTAATCCTAGCGCTCTGGGAGGCCGAGGTGGGTGGATTGCTCAAGGTCAGGAGTTCCAGACCAGCCTGAGCAAGAGCAAGACCCCCATCTCTACTAAAAATAGAAAGAAATTATCTGGACAACTAAATATATATATATAGAAAAAAATTAGCCGGGCATGGTGGCACATGCCTGTAGTCCCAGCTACTCGGGAGGCTGAGGCAGCAGGATCGCTTGAGCCCAGGAGTTTGAGGTTGCTGTGATCTAGGCTGACACCACAGCACTCTAGCCCAGGCAACAGAGTGAGACTCTGTCTCAAAAAAAAAAAAAAAAAAGAATTAATTTAGAATTTGATTTGGGAAATTTTGTCACAGATATCAGCGGTTTAAAATAATTAAGTAGGATCACAGATCACTGTGAAACGATAGGCATTCATTTAACCAGAATGATAATTAAAAGACTTTAAAGTCAAATAGAGAAATTTACGTAGGTGTAGAAAAATCTTAACTCTTTTATTAGGGAAGACTCAGTTTTCCTAAGTAATCAAAGACCTACTAAAACAAGAGAGCAATCTGATACTCCAAGAAAACTTTGTAACAATATACTTTTGGTATGAAGTCTCATTGTTTTTTTTAAAAAACGTATTCAGATTTTAGCCTGCTTGACCACACATAAAATTCCTTTTTCAAGATTCTTCTTCCACAAACCTTTTATAACTTTCTTATTTTCATTTAGTTTTGCCGTATACTCCTCCCCTTTCCCATTGTGGAACAATTAGTCATTCTATTTTAGGACAAAAAATACTGTTATCGAAAGCTCAGCACTTTTCCCCAAGGCCACATCAGAAGAATGAGGACAAGTGGGTTGAGGAGAAGGAAAGAGGAATTTATTAATTTGCCGGCAAATGAGGAGGATGGAGACACCTGTCTATAACGCTAGCCTCATAATAAGCAGAAATACAGAGCTTTTAAAGGGAGGCCATTCAGCTTCAGGCATTTGCTGTTCAACTATAGTTGATTCTGATGGTTCCATCTCCGTCCCATATCCACCTGAGACAATCCTGTGACCTCTGCCACCTGAGAGGCCCACCCAGACCTCCACCTGACTCCACCTGCCTAGTCCAGGTGGGGCTGTCAGTTCTGCCAAGCCATCTCCTGTAGCATAAAGAACAAAAGACATTACTGTGCGCCTCCTGTTACTTAGATGGTTAGGATCTGTGGCTCTTCTAGGGACAAAGTTGCCCTGCTTTGGTACTGTCTCCACAGCAATTGTTCCACCTGGGAAGAAGGATAAGGGTGGGCACTCTATTTTGGTGCTGCCCCACCTTAATCCTATTCTGAGTGACTGCCGCACCTGGGGAAGAAGGGAATGCTTTATGAATCTGGGAATTCCGTAGCCCAGGTGTGATAGAATTTAGAAAGTGACCTAGAGTAACATAAGGGTAATTATTATGCTGTTAGCTTGAATCTGCATTGTGATTCATCCCCCCAGTGAAGACACCTGTTGATCATTTGATAACATCCCACTCCTCCTGAGAGCCCTCACCCAGACTGAACTAATAAAAGGAAACAATCCGAGAATTCAGTGAGAGAATGGGTGAGTGGGTGAGTGAGTCAGTGAGTCTCTCTCTCTGCTCTTGGAGACAGACCCTGTTCTACAATAAAGAGCTGCTCTCGTGAAACTGCTTCCTGTCTGGGGTTACTCGGTCATATTGGCCCTGCTGGTGATTTTTCCAAGATAATAGTCTGGACTTGACACTTTGCTGTGTCTGGTCATTCTTTGGCCAAGAGCATACCAAGAACTGAGGGCAGATTGCCACCCTGACACTCCCAACCACTGGCCTGAGGTAGGTATCCAGGTTTTAGTTCTCAAAAAGGAGTGGAGGTTGTTTTAAAGAGACAGAAAGTATTTTTGTCATTTTTTTTTCAGGCCATTGCCTCTGTAACAATATTCTTTTTCCCTTAATAAACAAATAACAACAAAAAACACATCCTTGTACTTTATAGCTTAAATTACCAAAAACATGTCTTTCCTAGCATACAATTTCCTTTATTCTGTTTAGTTTTAACTCTGTCTTACCAGCATTCTGTAGATTCGCAAATCTATGAATCATAGTTTCTAGATGCATGCACGTCTTCATAGTACAATTTTTCAATGTGGTATAGAATGTGTTTGCTAACAGACCCAGATATCTTTAGTTCTTCTGTAATAAGAAGCCAAAAGTGGAAACAAATTATGTTTAGCAATTAATGTTTTAGTATTTTATTTGTAAATGACCTAAATATTCAACAAATGTCCATCATTTTGTTTAGCAAAACTCCAAGGGTTGTAAGTTACCAAGGCGATTTGGG